GCATGCGAGACAGTGACGGCTACCCCAGGCCTTGCTGTAGTGAAGCCTCTCTCCTGTCAGCTCAGCGTGGTGGCTCTGACTGGGCAGCCTGGGACTCCGCATTCCACACCTTGTGTGCCCAAGGTCGTCCTCGTCCCAGGCCTCCCCTCGGCTGGGCCTCGCTGCTCAATTCTCTGACTGGGCAATCTGGGACTTGGATAGTAGACCTGCCTTGGGTCCTGTGGGTCCCTGAGCTGTGCATAGGAAGGTGCTCAGGGGAGAAGCCAGTACCCAGAGCTTGGCTGGGATTTTCTCAGGGTCCTTGTCTGTCTATTGGCTTCATGGCACCAGGGCTTTCCAGTCGGCTCGTGGTTCTGTTTCTGGGACAGTGAGTGCTTCTCTGTGAGTTCAAGGGCCCTGGATGACCTGGCCTAAGAGCTGGCTGACACCTGGGCTGGAAGGGAGGATGGGGTTGTGAAGGCAAACCCAATATTGTCATCACAAGGTCACACTCAGACTCCCACCTGGTCTAGTTGGTGTTAATATCAAAGCCGGTCTGTCCAGCCTTGTCTTCGTCTTTAACAAACGTCAGGGAGGACTTAAGATGCTCTGAACATGAGGGATTTGAAGAATTGGGTGGGGTTCTTGTTCTGAAGGAGTGTGCGATTAGAACTCAGAGAGCTTTAGACTTAAAATTCTGAGAATGGTTCTAGTCCAATTTCCCACCCCTTAGGAATCCTTGTGTCATATCCTGAAAGGAGGTCATTTATTTTATTATTTTATTTTTTTACTTGAATGCTTCCAGGGATGAGAAGCTCACTACTGGGCTTAGTGTGCTTCTGGAAAATGTAGTTTGGAAATTCTTATGTTGAATCAAAATCTGCATCTTTTAACTTCCTACATATAGTCATTGTTCTGTCCTCTAGGGCTACAATAAAGGAGACTAATCTGTCTCCATTGTGACAGCTGTCACTTCTCACAGGAAGTAGCTTATCTGAACTAAGACTCTTGCCCTTTCTCTCTTGGTAGCTACAAGCACATAACCAAATCCCAATTCTCGATTGTTTCGTATTTGAAATTATAAACTAGGCTGTCAGAGGGATCCTGCAGTTGCCTTTCGTAGTGTGCAGAGAGAAGTTCTTTTAATGAAAGGAAAAAAATCCAAGATCAGGTATCATTTCTCAGTGCCCAAGACTGTTTTTGAGGAGGTATAAATTTAAAGATTAAACTTATTTTTTTTCACTGGCAGGGCACAGTGCTTGGGCTATAAACTATTTCTGCCCTGAAGGAATTGACAATCAAATCAGTCACAAAATGCATACGCACATTTGAGTTCAGTCAGGTGAATACAGCAGGTGTGCAGCTGAGGAAGGCTTCCTAGTTGTCCTGGGCTTGAAGCATTGGCACTCTGTTACAGTGAATAGTGGACACATCAGGTTTTATGGTCCTCTCTCCTTACATAGCGACTAGGTGATGCCCTTCGGCCGTGACAGGTACTGTCCCTGCCCATCTGTCCAAAAACAAAAGCCACCTTTTATAGATGAAATTAGCACAGCAATGGTGGTATTTTGGAGTCATCTCTTTTGAAAACAAAATAAATCAAAAGGAAAGAACATGATTTGTGATAGAGCTATGAACAGGATTCAGGACATGCTGTTCTGTCTGCTGCCGCATTACTGACCGTCATAATCTCTTTCGAAGAAACAGGCCTGTGGAAATGAGGGGACTGTGGAAGTATCAACTCTGGTATTAGGAGGCCTTGGAGAAAATAAGACAGTACTGACAGGAGCCTTAGTGTTCTCGACTCTGCCCTGGTCAGCTGCCACTAAAGAAACCCTGCAGCTCCCCAGCTTTTCCCTGTCCTCTCCTCAGATGTATCTTGGCTCGATTGTAGCCTCCGGGGGCACTAACCACATTCTCTCTCCTTTAAGGTTTGGCTTCCCGGCTCATGGCATCACTGGCTTCAGCCTCTCCCACTGGGCCTTCTGCCGCCCCTACCCCTGCAGTGTTGATGCTCCCCGTGGGTGGTCCTTTCATCTGCTGCTGCTTTCCCTAAGTGGTCTCCACTGTATGATTTCATGTCATCCGCACATGACACGGTTCCCTTCCTTACTTTCCCACCTGCATCTCGTCCTGCTAAGGGGAAGTCCTCGCCAAGATGTTCCGCTGGCTCCCCAGACACGGTAACTCCAACACTGAACTGGCTTTCTTTCTTTGCTAAAGAAAGAGTGGTTTCTCTTACAACCATTGATCTTGGCCAGTCTTATTGCTCCGTCGTCTAAGCAATGACTGTCTGTGCTGTCTTTGATATCTTTCTCCCTTCCAGTTCAGACCATCACTAAGACCTGTTGATTCCACTCCTTAGGGTCAAAATTCATGCAATAAATAATTTTGATAGAAAACACAGGTTTATAATTAAAAATTGTAAATTTTTTATTGATTCATAAAGTATACAATATAGGGTTATGTATGGAATAGCACATCGGGTAAATGGCCTCCACGGCTTTGCTGGCACATACACAAAGCCATGGTCTTCATTGGTCTTCATTGTCCCTGCTCCTGGGCCATAATTGGTGCTTGGTAATGCTTATCAAATTGAAGGAATTGAAATCAAAGGGCAACAGATACTAGAATCTGATTCAATAAACCAAGTAAAATTAGGCTTTTATTTGTTGTTGTTGTTGTTAATGCTCACACAAAATTCAAATCTTGCGTGAATTTTGGGACACCCTATAGCTACCCTAGTTCACGCTTTGTCATCGGTCACTGAGCTATTTACATTAGCTTCTTCCTTGGACTTCTTTTCTCCTGCCTTGTCTCCACCCCCCCCCCCTCCAACCCCATCCTTAATTTATCTCTGTAAAACCTCTGGTCAGACCATGCTGCCCTTCTGCTTATATGGGTGTGTGTCCTCCCATAATTCTCCCTGGCCCACAAAGTCCTTCCACTTGGCCCTGGCTCCTACCCCTTGCCCCTCACGCTCATCAGAGACACGCACTTTCATGGCTTGGCCTTGGCTCACGTCCTATCTTCTGCCTGGGATGCCAGCGCCCTTTGGCCTTTTCTTTTGCCAAATCCCTGTTCATCCCTCAAGACTCACTTTCAATGGCATTTTCTCTGAAATCTTATCTAAAGAAACTCCTCTCAGCCCTGCAAAATGACCTTGCCGCCCAGCTCCGTCGTAGCATTACACCACCACACCCCCTTATGACTGCTTTACTGAAGTGGATGTGTCTGGGTGCAGGCCATCTCTAGACTTTGAGTTCCTAAGACCAGGTATCCTTGGCACCCAGACACGCAGTGAGTGTACAGTGAACACCTGTTAGGATATGTTTTGTTCATAGGAACCTCAGCAGGGACTTCTGATCAGGGCAATTGGGGTGCCTGCCTCATGGTGACATAGCTCTCCAGTGGAGACCAAAAACATGGTGCAAGTCTCTTGGTGCCCAATGAGGGACGCCAGGGCTCTCAACCCTGCCTGCCTTGCCTCTGATTCCGACTTTTAGCAATACATCAAGGTTCTGTGTTTGCAGGCACTCTTTATTCTTTCTCTGGCATTTAAATAAATGGGATTTATTGATAGCTACTTCAGAAACTCACTACTAAGTTAGACTCCTGTTACCACAGTTAGAGCTACCTCTTATAGATTTATATATGCCGCAGATTAAATGCTCTCCCAGTTACAGCTCTTGATTTAGTGAAATACAAAAAAAGAGTAACAACAAAAAAGTGGTTTAATCCCATATTTTTCAATTCCTTCATGCAAAGAGATTGTCTGTGGTACGTTTGTTTATGATTAGCTTCAAGTCCATTCGTCCTTTATATAGATAATTTCATAGGAAAAGGAGTAAAAATGCTAAGTAAAGCAGCATCTCCTCAAGTGGGTTTTATGTTCCTTTGGGGATGGGAACATAAAAGGAAGTTTTCTGGATGAGCACTGTACTTGGAGTCTGGAAATTTGGGTTCCAGTTGTGGTCCTCTAGTTGTTCTGTATTTAATATTTTTCCTTATGTTAACTGGGAATAATAATCTATATATAAAACCCTAAACCACAAGACGACCGGCCAGTAGCTATGACACGCACTGACCACCAGGGGGCAGACGCTCAATGCAGGAGCTGCCCCCCTGGTGGTCAGTGCGCTCCCACAGTGAGAGCGCCGCTCAGCTGACCGACAGAAACCAGACACTGGGCTCATGGCTGGCGAGTGCAGCTGCAGTGGCACAAGCCTCTCCCGCCTACTTAGCAGCACTACTGAGTGGCAGCAGTGGCGGCAGGCACAGTGGGGCCCGGGTGAGCGGGAGAGGCATGGGGCTTGGCCCTGGCTTGGGCTCCTCTCCTGCCGCCTGCTGCTTCACACACTACTATATCCCTCAAGGGGTCCCAGATTGAGAGAGGGTGCAGGCCAGACTGAGGGACCCCACCGGTGCACGAATCCGTGTACCGGGCCTCTAGTAATAGCTGTAAATTTCTGTACAAAATATAAGAGGCGTAAGTTGTGTTTAAATTCACCCTTTCTGGAATTGGTACAGAGAGATTTTTCCAAGGTGACATCAGATGGTCCACCCAGACTTGTGAGTCTGCTATTTGCAGGACCCTAATGTAGCCCTCAGAAGGCAGACGAGGGTGGGGGTGAAATAGATTACACCATTTGGTATACATAAAACTTGAGATGCAGAAAAGGCCACATTCAAAAACAGCTTTCACACTTGGAATGTCAAAGAGGCAGTGTAGACCGAGCCAGTGTGGCTCCGTGGTTGAGTGTTGACCTATGAACCAGGAGGTCACGATTCTATTCCTAGTCAGGGCATATGCCCAGGTTGTGGGCTCGATCCCCAGTAGGGCGTATGCATGAGGCAGCTGATCAATGATTCTCTCTCATCACTGACGTTTCTATCTCTGTCTCTCTCTCTCTCCCTTCCTCTTTCTGAAATCAATATAAACATTTTTTTAAGGAGTTGGTGTAACTCAGGCACCGATGGGAATGTCAGAGTCCCACTTTCATGTCACTTCTTTCTTGTAGTTTGAAAAAGAACTTCAGAGGATTTCGGAAGCCTATGAGAGTCTGGTCAAGTCCACCACCAAGCGAGAGTCACTGGACAAGGCGATGAGAAACAAACTGGAGGGCGAGATTCGAAGACTTCACGACTTCAACAGGGACCTCCGAGGCATGTCAGCTTCCGTTCATGTTTTCTCTCTATCCCAGAGCGCTCTGTGACCAGCAGCCTGACTTCAGGTCCAGCTGTGTGAGATAACCTTGGAAATTCCAACCACCTGGGAAAGGGCTCTCAGAGAGTGGAATTGTTCCTTTCTGCCTTGTAGGGTGTAGTTTTCAGCACTGAGCCTGAGAAGTGACAGCCTATATGCAAAGTGAGGGAGTGGGTGTGTAGCTGCTTCTGGCTTGAAACGTCCTGACTGTGACTTGTGACTTGTGAGTATGTGAGTGGCAACTTTGAAAAGACCAGTGTTAGATGCACAGCTCTTCTCACACATGCTGAGTCATTTAGTAGCATGCTGTAAAAGCCAATGCTGAACACTTGCTTGGTATAGTATAGAAGACAGACTAGACGTGTCCCTCTGGTGGAAAAATAAAGGCCAATAGGCCGACAGATGTGTATCTATAATAATAAAAGTGTAATATGCTAATTAGACCGACGACCTTCGGATGAAGCCAGGGCTGCAAGGGAAGCCCAGGTGCCAGGTGCCTGCCGGTGCCAGCAGCTGGGGGAAGAAAGGCCTACTCTTGCACGAATTTTGTGCACCGGGCCTCTAGTATATGTATATACTTCCCCAAAACTAGGAGTCACCTGCTACAGGGTTTTGGCAACCTCCAACATACAGAATAACTCGATGCATAAAATTTAACTTCACCTTCAATCAGCCAAGCCATTTTTCAGTTGCCTTGTATGTAGTCTCTAGATCCTACTTTTTCTATTATTACAAACCTCTTTATCTTGCATATCGTGTACATTCAATGAAGACCTGTTAAGCCGAATTATTTAATGGAATAAATGAAAATTTGCCAGGTGCTTAGAGCAAATGTAGAACTAACTGTGTAGAATCTTCATCCATTAGGTCATTTTGACCTTTTTTGGTATTTAATTGTTGTTCTAAGATACAGGTAGCATTTGCAGGCTAAAACAGAGGGCTCATGGTCAGGGTTAGACTAGGGCTGGGTTTGGGGCCAAGGAGTCAACCCTTTGCAAGGACTTCAAACAGAGGTTTGCTCATAGGCAGCAAAGCGGTTTTTCTTGGAATCTCTTCTGAGCTGCCCCCTGCTGGTGCACATCTTGGCATTCCTTTGCATAAAGGCACAGCGTGGCATCTGAAGACTTCTTTGGACATTTTGGAATGTATTGTTCCTCCCCAAAAGTGGTTCAGTTTGGGGCTCCTGCTTGAGCATCTTTTTCATACCCAGCTCTTGGCTCCCACGTCATTTCCCAGTTGATGACGACTTAGATCCATACACATTTCTTCATAATCCTTTTCTCTCTGTGCACAGATCGACTGGAGACTGCCAACAGGCAGCTGTCCAGCAGGGAGTATGACGGCCATGAAGATAGAGCCGTGGAGGGCCTGTATGCTTCCCAGAGTGAGTCTCCGTGTTGATCCATCCCAACGTTGGTATTTTTAAAACCTAGGGGCCTGAACAAAGAATCGTGTTAATTTTAAGTAGGTTTTGTGCTGTGTACCTTTGGGGTTTTGTAATTTAGCACATAAGCCGTTGGGCCTCCTAGGTCTGCCAGAGATAAAGCCAAAGTTATTGGGTATTATTTCAGTAATGTTTATTCTGACCTTCTGACCTGGGCCACCTGAAGGACCACATCATATATCTGCATATGTGACTCTCATTGCCAAAAAATCACTGAGCCCGTGTCTGCCCAGAATGAAATAAACAGTGGCTTCCCGTGCCTCCAGATTATTGGGAGAATATTGTGTTAATTTCACCAAAGGCAAATGGGTTTTGAGAAACCATCGGTCAGGGTTAGAATTTCTGCAAATCCATTGTACAGGTCAGAAATGTAAAAATACAACTTCCTTTTTTTTTAAGGCTGTTTAGAAAACTGAATTCATTTCTCTGGCATAAATCTCAACAACATGGTGAGTTAAGTGTTTACTAACTAAAGACAGTTCAAGGAACAATGTTACCTGACATTGACCGTCCATGTAGGGTGGTGGTGGAATTCTGATGCCTGTCCTTCGGTACAGCCCTGCATTTTCAAGGCGGGGAAACCACTGGTGAAATTTTCAAGGTGTGGTCCTATTTGGTTGGGTTAAGCCCCTTTGTTTCCCCCACATTTACTCCTGATCGCACTTCAGGGATTAGTCCCAGCTTCATTTTTAAGTTTTGTTTTGGCGGATGGACACTCATGCCGTCCAGGCCTTCTGTATCAGAGCCTTCCTCGCCGTCTTGCAGCAGTTGAGCTGCCCTGTGCTCCAGGTTCCCATGAAGAGCTCCATCAGCATCTTGGATTATTTACTTTCCTACAGAATGTATCGCTTCCTGAGGGTACAGCAGCTTTACCACCTCCTCTGAGCTTCCCTTTGAAAAATGACTCACCTGTGGTACCTGCCTGTCGTCCCTGGCTGTCGGGTGATCAGCTGCCTGAGTAGAGTCGGTGTCCTTGTGGTAGTTCTGTCAGCAATGTCGCCCTGCTGAGCCTCTGCCTTATGTCAGGGGATACCGTCCTCTCACTTAGTTCAGGTCAAAGTGGGAAACCCAGTTAGTTCCATCTGGCCTCTTAGCCCATGGCTGTGCTCATGGAATGACGGGGTTTGGTGTTGTGTGAG